AACAAAGAGTATTGAACTGTTATGGGATATCTGTCCTCCAATATGGCAGCGAATGCTAAGCAGTCTCCCTAAAGTGGAAGAAGAGCGAGAGAAACGTGATTCTACAGATAGATACTGAGGATACCATGACACGAATATGTGAGCAACAAAGAGGTTTTAGAGAATAAAAAAGAGGAAGCTTATACTAAACACCAGGAAAAAGCAGTTGAAATTTTGGGAGCACGTCATGAGGAAGGTGGGCTTGGAAAATCTGATACTCACAGAACAGATTGATAAAGAGATGGACAAATGAAAGCAGCGCGTAATATACTTGATAAGCTTGAGTAAATGGATGACAGAACAGGGTTTGAGAGAAATAACAAAAATACAATAATTATTAAGAGCTACAAGGGGCCGGAAAATGTGGAGGGGCATGATCGCCTACGTCCTGACGAGACACGGTACCTAAATAAAGAAGATGAAAGCATTCATTTTTTGTTCTTGTGCCTTGCAAATTAAATAGAGAAGAAACGGTTGGTCTGTTTGGCTCATCATCTAATAGCATTTGTTTTGGGTGGGTGAGACAAAAGACACAAAAGCTCGTTAAGATATACATTCTGTGTGGAGGTTATTTTTCCAAGTGTTTGATTTTGATGTCTCGCCGAAGTCTTGTCATATTAAATATCAAGGCACCGATGGTCTGGAATTTGCTTTTAGAAGAGTTACCAAATCTCAGGTTGTCTCAAAATAATAATCGCTTAGGCAGAGATATGGAGAAACGCTCTGAAACTCAAAACATATATTGTGAGAACCTCCCTCAGGCTTCTCTACGTTTTTTTTCACAATTGAGGTTTCTGGTGTTGTACAGAAAAAAATGGGAAAGTCCAAGTGGGCGTTCTCAAGGTGAAACTAGAGCTACAACGAAGAGATCTGTATTTTCAAGATATTTGATTATTTTGTGTGCAAGAACTGGCTAACCCTCCCTACACATTACTGAAACTTAGAATCGTCCATCCATTACAAGTAGAACGTCTACTTATGGAACAGTGGTAAAAAATTCAGAGGCAAGTATTATGGTGTATGGAGGATTGAGTGGTGACGGACGAGTTTTTATGGTGAATGTGGTAATTGTAATGATTGAATGGGTCGTAAATCACATTAGCTAGGTATAAGATAGTGATGACCAGCTTCAACCCCTCCCTTTTTTAGGCCATATGCCACAATTGTATTTTTTTATACAATAAATCTCAAAAATTCACAGGCAAAGGCGGAACTTTTTTCAGTCGTACGCATGTCACACTAAATTACTCTATTCTCATTCTATTTACTTATGGAAACCCTTCTTAAACTTAAACCCTTCTTCACTCAACCGTTTTTTTAGAGTGTTTTTCTTACACTCTTACTCACCAGCAACTATGATAGTTATGTGAGCTTTATAAAAGACTAGCAATAGAGACCGGCGTTGCCCGGGGATGTAACAGTAAGAGATAGATCAAGTATCGACCATCATAAAGACTGAAAAATAAAATTGACAAAGATTTTTGTTTAAGGTTGACGGACACGCATGTCTTAATTAGTTTTTTTTTACGAATTGGACAAACCCAAACTCGAACAAAAACATTGTTTTCAATCGTTATGAGTCTATTGATTGAATAGAATTTTATTATAAACAATTGTCTTGTAAATGGAATTTTTAAAGCATTCTGAATGTAAAAATAAAGAAAAAAGTGTGCAAGACAATAAGAAACACTACCTGCCAAAAAAAAAGTGAAGTTTTGTTGAAATCGTCTAAAAAATGTAGGAAATCCGATCATATATATAAACGAACAAACACACACACAAAAAAACAACCTGGGTTTTATAATAAGTATAACTCGATATGAGTTGTCCCCCTTTCATTCTCGCGATTAATCGTGTTTTCAAATTGATTTTGAGCAAAAACAATTGTGTTTTTCCAATTTTTGGCGCTGTCAGAACCACCGCAATGTAATTTTACGGAGTCCTGTGAAGTTTTGTGGAAATCGGTTGAAAAATGTAGGATATCCGATCCAATATATAAACGTACAGACACACACACAACCTGGGTTTTATAATAAGTATGATTCCTTATCCATAGATTCACTTTACATGATCTGGAAGAGGATGGAGTTAGGTGACACATCTTCGCTATCGCTTTTGTTTTCTCTCGTGATAGTCTGACCAGATCTTCCGTTCGGTCTCTCAGAACACCGACGCTCAGCTACGCTTGACTCGAAACTACTGGCAGTTCTAAACATGACTGCTTATATAAGCCTGCTATCGGAACTTCCTTAACTTCCAATCAAGCTCCACTTGCTCCCGATAGTTTTCATTCATTTATTTGCTTCTATTTTCTTTGACTCTTTGAAGATCTTACTTTTAGGCATTACTTCTGGTCATAAAGCACCAGACACTTCAGATTCAGGCCAAATCATTTAGGGCTAGATTTTATTACGCCACATATTTTATAACCAATAAACAATTACATGCAGAGCGCACGTGACGAGCTGCGTAACCCATTAAAGTTGTTGGACGTTCGACAAGACAAACGCACTTTTTCTGCAGTACAAGTCGTCATGGCCCGGATCGAGGTCAAATCTTTCTCTCCAACAGCTTATGAGTCCATGATGCTGTTTCTCTTTGGAAATATATCTTTACCAGATAAAGAAAGAAACTCCAGTGCGCAGTCCTCAATTTGGGAAGCCCCAAAACTCGTCGTTTCCAATTCATGGAATATATCCTAGCCTGGCACAGAGATGAATCCGGCCCGTCAGAATCTGAAATCCTAAACATTGATTCTCCAGACACAGGAGTATCTCCATATTATATGCAAGACTCTTCCTTTGTATTCCTCCTTACATTCCGCTTTTCCGTGTAGATATATGTGATATATTATCCTCTGCGTGAGACACTTGTACATATGTATGTATATATAGCTTGTGTATGTCTTAGTAATATAAAAGTCTCGCTGAGAACAAAGCCATCTCTTTTCATCTGTGAACGACAGTGTTGTTCTATCACTGATATAATAATACCCATAATGAGGGAAATACAAATGGGAGAATAATCTTTGTACCAGAGATCTCTCTTATTACACCGCCTTCTATTTGTGAATGGTACGAACATTCCTGTTCTGGAGTTTTCAAATAAAAAGGATGCTTAAAAGTTGCATATATCTAATATTTATTAAGTTACGTTGTAAGTTCGCCAAATCACTGCAGATAGATGTAGTGGGCATCTTGCATGTGCAGTATCCCTTCCGGATGAGGGCGGTCATGGCTAACCGCGATTTTCTCTCCTTTGTCTTTGCTATTTCTCTTAATCCCTGTTCTGCAAATCATTTACACAAATTCGTTAAATAGGTTTGTCGCTACTTTCCTCAGTCCCTTCAATATGTCCTGTGAGTATCAGATTTTCCAAGCTCCCTTTCCTCATTATGCTCTAGAATTTCCAACTCTCTCTCTCTTCCTAATATTAAATACAAGTGTTCTTTTGTTTCCACTTGAGTTCAGGTCTGGCTATTCCTGTTGCTGGAAACCATCGTTTCTGTCTTCTTCCAATGGATGTCTAATACTTTCTTTTTCTACCTTCTGTAGAAGTTCTTATAATTTCTTTTGTGTCTGCTGTCAACACCGTGTCATCTGCATATATCATCTTACGACAATTATTTTGAGATATTTTTATTTTTTTTCCGAGAAATTTTCATAGAAAATATTCGTCCTCGGACATTCAGGCCAGTAAATGTTGTTAATAATGTTCATTATAAACAGAGCATTTACTTAAATATTTGTATCTTTAAAAAAAAAACAAAAAAAAACAAAAAAAAAAACAAACAAAAAAACGTATAAACAAAAAAATGTCTAATTATCAGACTGTCCATTTCATGTGTGACGTCATTTGTTTACATCTGGATACGCATCGAGCAGATGTGAATGTATGAGAGAAAATCATAGAGAATTGTAGTTTAAAGACAGTAAAATCGACCTTGATAACCGAAACGCTCCTCTGTGTTTCAATCGGTAAAAGCACGTCAGGCTATATGACGGTTCCGTATAGGATACAGGTTCGATTCCTGTCGGAGGACGCATATTTTCTATGGAAATTTCTCGGACATTCAGGCCGGTAAATGTTAATATTGTTTATTATAAACAGAGCATTTACTTAAACATTTGGATCTATAAAAAAGAATGTTAAACAGAAAAAATGTCTCAAAATAACTCATCTTGTTAAAATTGTGGCCTCAAATAATAAAGAATCCTGGTAGGACATCTAATTCTCTTAGGATTGCCTCACTATAAAGTTTGATTGGTTTGGTTTATTTTGTTTTACGGCATATCAAACTCAATGGGTTATTTAATGCCGACATGATTTTAGGATAGGTTCGTATGTATAGAATATGTATTCTTTGTAAGAAATCGGTTTCTAGATCAGGTTTAATTGACGTATTTTTTTTTTTTTTTTGTTAAATGTATTGTTGTTATTTTTTTTATAAATTCTAACGAGTGGAGAATACAATTTAATCAAGTTTTGATATCTAAAGTGTTTTTAAGAGTCATGTAGGAAATTATATATCTTTCTCATCGCCATTACACAATTATTTTATTTCATCTGTTTTATAAAGTTCCAACAAATTTCTTGCATTTATCTTCATTTTCTTTTTGTAGACAGCAATGAAGCCATCTGAATGTAACACGATTCTGTTTAACTTACAAATCGAAAGAAGTGTGTGCTTTAAAATGTATGTTGGGATATGTATAGAGTTTCGGGAATGTCATATGTTCACCTGTATGATTTGGAAGCTCAAACACGAACACGTATCAGAGGGAAAGATCAAGATGTACGAACATAAAAGGGAGAGGTGGAGAGATACGCGCACACACACACACGAAGACAGACACGAAAAAAGATTAAAACACGAAAGAGAGAGAGAAGAGAGATGGGAATAAGAGGCACACGCGAGAGAGAGACACACACGCGAAAGAGAGAGAGAGACGCGCACACACGCGAAAGTGAGAGAGAGAGAGACGCACACACGCGAAAGAGAGAGAGAGAGAGAGACGCACACACGCGAAAGAGAGAGAGAGAGAGACGCACACACGCGAAAGAGAGAGAGAGAGAGAGAGAGAGATACGCAGGCCAAACAAATTACTAGCAAATACCAACCATTCGCAAACATTTCATTTTTTTTTCATTTTGGTGTTTCAGAAAGAATTCAACTTAAACTCTGCCAGAAATTACGTATCTTTGAAGGAATCGTGTACAAACTGAAGGAAAAAAAACACTAATTTATAAACCTGATGGAAACCTTTATTTTTAACTTTAGTGATTTTTCATACCTTTAGTCTGATAGGAAACATTTGACCAATATAGTTTTTTTCTTTTTCTTCATACTCTCAAATTTTGTTTGGTAGCTGTACATAAAATATGCAAAGTGTATTTTTATAATTTTTTCTGTATCATAACGCTAAGAACGAATATCTTTGATAATACAATACCCAACAGTTTAGACTTTAGGAAGGGCTGGTGAAAGGACTAACTGCAAATATGCTATCATTAATATCATTGGTAAATATTAATATAAAACTCAAGTGGACATCATTTTTTTTTTCTATTTGCATTAAACTGACATGACTTACAATTATTTTATTAAGTTGTAATTCTAATAAAATATATTTACAGGCTCACCGAAGATACTTTTAATCATTTCTTCTAAGCAAGGCAATAAAGCCATATAGACGCAAGTGGTTTACTGAGTGTTACAGAATATGAGAACCCCCCCCCCCCTAAAAAAAAAAGACAAAAACAATAAATAGCGGAACTGAAATTAAGAAGACAGAAGATAACAATTGACTTTGCATTTAACTTAAAAGCAGGAAGAGAGTTCCACAAGAAGAAATTGCGAGAGAAGAAACTGTTAGCATAGAACTTACGGTTACAGCTATCTGTAAAATGATGAATCCACGCCACCAGTCTAGTACTGCACTTAAATTAATTATTAAACTGATAAATACTAAACAACTAATAATAATTTTATTTAGCTTCGAAGGTATCGTTATTTTAAGAATTAAGAGAAGAGATTCGCCATGATTTGTACCCATTGAGAGCAGAGTTTCACCCCAAGTTGAACTCGTACATATGATCCATCGCTAAAGATGTTAAGAAAATGGTTGGTTCCTTGTGCCGCTACAAGAAGTACCTCATTCCTCCTGTTATCCTCTACAAGAATCAGATCAGGCCAAGAATGAAGTACTATTGTTATATATGAGTAGGAGCTGCCCAGTCTTCACTTTCTACTACGCATCCTTGTGGGTGATGAATTATTTTCCACTCGGCAATCCATTTCTCGCAGACGAGACGTCACAAGCCTATCGCTATTTCCATGGAGAGTGTTCAGTTGAACTACACTCCTTAGTTCCACCTGTCACGGCTAGGACCCGCCATGCCACGCCCATTGTTGCGAACGACCCTCATTCCTTTCGTGTTCCCTTGGTGAGATGTAAGTGCCACTCAAGCAGCTTCTTCCTACAAACCGCTGCCTTGTAGAACCGACTCCCATGAGGTTGCTTCCCCGGTCAACTCTAGACATAAACAGGTTATCTTGCACACATATAAACATAAGCGGTGTCTCTGTTCTGTAACCCTCTACTTTGAGTGGCCGCAGGGCTTTATACAGGATGAAAACCGTAGTAAATAATTAAAGAAATATATGCATATCAAACAGTATATAAGAGCATTTGAGCAGAGTGATTATGTATGTATAAAAGGAAAGACGATTGCAATAGAGGGGTCATAATAACATGTTGCCATGACCCCCTCTTTCGCAATCGTCTATGTTGCGATCGAGGAGTCATTAGATGGACGATGATAAATTAGTTTCTGTACGGTGAGCTGTGTAAAGGAAAGCCATAATTGAAATATAAAGATTGCATGATGAATACACTGAAGAAGGCCAACGTCATGAAAAAATGCCTGGGAAAGCTCTAGAGCGTTCACCCCTGGGGGAGAGGGAAGGAGTACTGTTGCTTCAACTCCAAGTGGGAATGTTTGCAAAATACCTTCGCCTCTTTCAGTTCTACTGCTTATTTACATTTAATTATGGCCGCTCACTCTTCAGCGGTAAGAGAGGCTTTGAACAAAAAATCGTGTTGGACATTTAAAAACAATGCGACATTTCCCTTAGGGTCTGGATGTTAATTCCCTGAAAAATTGGTGCGAAAAAAAAAAAAAAAAAAAAAAAAAAAAAAATGTTTAATTTGAAGTCTAACGTCTAATTAAAAATACCTAAAAAATTTCTCCTTAGTCTGTAGAGAAAAAAAAAAAAAAAAAAAAAAAAAAAAAAAAAAAAAAAAAAAAAGAGAAAAAAAAAAATTTCAGAAAAAAAAAAAAAAATGTAAAAAAAAAAAAAGAAAAAAAAAAAAAAAAAAAAAAAAAAAAAAAGAAAGAAAAAAAAAAAAAAGAAAAAAAAAAGAAAATTTTAGAAAAAAAAAAAAAAGAAAAGAAAAAAAAAGAAAAAAAAAAAAGAAAGAAAAAAAAGAAAAAAAAAGAAAAGAAAAAAAGAAAAGAAAAAAGAAAAGAAAAAAGAAAAAGAAAAAAAAGAAAAGAAAAAAATAAAAAGAAATTAAAAAAAAAAAAGAAAAAAAAAAAGAAAAGAAAGAAAAAAGAAAAAAAAAATAAGAAAAATGGGATTTGAAAAAATAAAAAAAAAAAAAAAAAAAAGAAAAAAAAAGAAAAGAAAAAGAAAAAAAAAAGAAAAAAAAAAAGAAAAAAAAAAGAAAAAAAGAAAAAAAAAAAGAAAAAAAAAAAGAGAAAAAATTTTAAAAAAGAAAAGAAGAAAAAAGTATGTTTCAGTTGGTTGACTAAAACGTCATATTAATGTAATAATGTACAACTACTAAAAAAAAAAAAAAAAGGAAAATCGCACAACGTTGCCACATCTGTACCAGAGAATATAACACTACAGCAAGACTAACACACTCCAACCGCACTGCAGATATTTGAAAATGGATCAAGTTGGATAGTTTTTTTCCGAAATCCAGTGGCAGCCAATTTATAAGGGAAGAACACAAGAAAAGAATAAAGGAACTGCACTGGGTAATTTCAAATAGCATTAACACCCACCCACCCCCGCTCGATGCCTATTCCGGATTTGTCAGTTAACAGAGAAATAATGAGGAACGCTCGCTAAGAATCTCGTTCAAGTACTGCTACCATTTCATTTAGCATTTAAATACCAGTCGGGTAATGATAGCCTGACGATTCATTGTTATTCATCTTGGCTATTAGTGACCAACTTTGAAGACCGAGTCTTCTTTATGTAACGTTTCGCCACATTCGTAATTCCCTGTTTAAATTTAATCTTGGGTATCACGATAAACAACATCCGGGAGTAAGACCTTTGATCGAAAGATTGAAGGTTTTGAAGAGCCTGGAAACACATCTTAATTTCTATTGTTCCCAGGTCCACCCTGATCTGGGGTGGTAGCATCTGTTAGGACCCCAGCTATGGACTATTAGTGAAACACACACACACATTTTTTAAGACATTTTTATGTTTATACATTCTTTTTTAGAGATACAAATATTTAAGTAAATCCTCTGTTTATAATAAACGGTATTAACAACATTTACCGGCCTGAATGTCCGAGAAATTGTCATAGAAAATATTCGTCCTCCGACAGGAATCGAAGCTGTATCCTATCCGGAACCGTCATATAGCCCGACGTATTTTTACCGATTTCGCCACAGGGGAGCTTTTCGGTTAGCAAGGTTGATTGTAATGTTTTTAAACTACAATTTTCCATGGTTTTCTCACGTACATTCATATCTGCTCCATGCGTATCCAAATGTAAACAAATGACGTCACGCATTATGAAATGGACAAAGTCCGACAATTATTTTGAGACATTTTTATATTTATACATTCTTTTTATAAATACAAATATTTAAGTAAATGCTCTGTTTATAATAATATAATTATTTTAAGACATTTTTTATGTTACACACACACACACACTTTATATATTATATATATATATATATATATATATATACACATACACACACACTTATAAAATACCAGCAGTACATTTTTATATGACTAACAATACTCATGGAAGTTGATCTGATGCTAAATAAAATCAACCAACCTATTTAAATTAAAAAGTACACAACACACTGAATTCAATATACGCCCTACATTCCACTGCACGAATCTCGAGTTTTAATAATATATGGCAACAGGAGGTTCATTCTCTCGACTGTACCTCACATAATGTGGATGTATTTGCTGAAGATAAAGAAATAGAATTATATAGGCTTAGGGAGTGTATAGAATTCCACGAATGTTGATAAGACATCATGCAGAATCGGCTCGCACAACAAAGCCAAGAAGTAGTTTTTCAGTACCCTGTTTTCAGCTAAATTCTACATTGAATGAATTTTGTTTCTTTATGGCTTATCAACATTTTGTGGGTTATTCAAAGGCGAAATATTTTTCTTTTCTTTTTTAGCGAGTGAATATCGCGTTAATAATTTTCCAGGGATAAGAATTATTTTTCCAGATAGAAGTCCTACTATTTAGCCCATAGTTGGGGAGAGAAGAGAAATTCATACGCTCAATTATGGAATTGAATTAATGTTAACTCTACTTCAGAGTAAAATTAAAACAAAAAAAAAAAAGAGAGAAGTTAAAACTAGAAACTGTTTTCTGCAGTAAAGAACCAAAATTTCTGAAAAGATTTAGATTTCTTTTAGATTTTCAGTGCCAAAAATGGATTCTTGAATTTTTTTTAGAACACCAAAAAATCATTTAGAGAGAAAAAAAGCGGGTCTAGATAATGATTTTCTGATAAATATATAAATATATATTATGTCAAAAAACTGGTATAGGGAAAAAAGAGAGGCAATGAAAAGGTAAAAGATAGTAAATTTTAAAAATGCCTTCCTGAGATCAATTTTCTTAAATTCTTGAATTTTTTTAAATATCTTTCTGAGATGCATGTTTTTGAAAATTTCTTCAAACATCTTGGATAATTTAAATCTGCTTTTTAATATTTGTGAATTTACAGCGGTCCTAAGAACAGGGAGAGGGAGAGAGAAAAAAAAATGTCACTGGGCATATTTTTGCATATAGATTAGTATTATATACCTAAAGAGGGTTATTTCGTAATTGAAATATAACAAGCCCAAAATGAGATTTTATCATATAAAATATATAAATATATATATATTATATATATATATAGTGGATCACAGAGAGAGAGAGAAGATAAGCTAAAATAAGAGAGACAGTCAACAGAAAATGGTCCAATGAAAAAAAATCTTCAAAGAGAGGAGCTTAGAAAACGAAAATGTCTAAGGATTTAAAAAAGGAATTTCAGGTCTAATGAAAATCTCCAAAAAGAAAGACTTAAGATTTGAACGAGTCTACAAGCAAAGTCCAATGAAAAAAGATAAAAATGTGCGTGAATGAACAACGAAGAAATGTGGTTAATCCCACGTGCATAAAATAAAATATATTAAGATAGCCGACACAGAATGACAGAACAAGACTGGATTCCAACAAGAGTAATTTTATTAAATGCAGGAAAACAAGTAAATTGTCCCGTAGTAGGGATCAATGAAAAAAGTTCCGCGCCAAAAAAGTAGAAACAAGATGGCTAAAGGCAGGAAGGTTCTTGAAGAAGAAGGAGATCCAGATAAGTCAATGTACAAGATAATATTCATACAAGGAAAAATACTCACTGCGAGTTTTTAGGTAATGTGAGTGAATGTTATTGTTATGTACATATTTTTTTTTTCTTTTTTTTTGTACTGGTTCAAAACAGATTTCTGACGAGACCCAAAGTGGACGACGGATTGTTATTTTGTATGTTCTGCATCGTCTCGGAGTAGAACTTTGAATGACGAGTCTCAAAGGGCCGAGGAATTAATATTTTGGATGTTTTGCATCATCTCGGAGGAGGACTTTGAATGACGAGCCAAAAGGGACGAAGGATTAATCATTTGGTATATGCATCGTCTTATAAAAGGGTTTTGAATGACGATCCAAAAGGGACGCAGAATTAATATTTGGTGTTGGCATCGTAAGATATCCTTCGTCAGTCAACCTTGCATATTGACATGGCTAAAAATGAGTCTGCTTAGGTCCGAGTCTGGATCAGAACTGAAATTTTCTGAAACAACAGTTTGTCGTTGACGTCACAAATTTTTCGCGGGAAGATTTCAAAATCTAATTTGCATAACAGGTCGCTTGGTTGGTGACCAAAAACAGTTACTACTGTATTAGACCGAACGAGGGAGAAAGGGGGTGTCAAACGCGCGCGCGCGCCCGCGAGTGTGAAAGAAAAGGGGAGGAAACTCGCGCGCGCGTAAAATGTCGTAGATGGAATAATACATTATTCACACAGCCCTCCTCCTGGATCAAATGTCGCAGACATTTGACTAATAATAGTAGAATGTTTCAAATTTCTTTGGAAAGGTGACTTTTCGACCGGAGCTGGTATACTTAGGTTTGTCGAGAGAGACAGGTGTCTTGAAATTCTCCTGAACTTGCGGAGTTGATTGGGAAGTAGTATGAGACGACGGTTTTCTCTATAAAGGCAGGTTTCAACCGATCTATTGAAACGTTGTCGGTGTGAATACCTTTTGTATTTGGAAATATTTGTCCGCGCGTTTAAGAACGCGGTATGGGCCTGTGTAGGCCGGCGTAAGAGGCCGCTTAACAGAGTCATTACGTACAAATACAAATTCGCAGTCCTTGAGCTGGTGCGGTAGATAGATATCACTCGGGCAGTGCCGCGGTGGTGTATAGCATAAGTTTGCCATTTTAAGGCGTAAGTCCTGAATAAAAGAGGAAGAAACTGGTGGTGTGGTCACAGCTGGTGAAAAATATTGGCCAGGTAAAGATAACGAAGTACCAAATACAAGCTCTGCAGGGGAGCATTTCAAGTCATCCTTAAGAATATTTCTTAACGATAAAAGGATGAGGGGTAATTCATCGACCCAATTATTATTCTCATGCTTCGTTGATAGCGAAGCCTTAAGGGTGCGATGGAATCGTTCCACCAGCCCATTCGCACAGGGGTGATACGCTGTAGTACGTATATGCTTTGCACCAAGGAGTTCAGTGAATTCCCTGAAAAGACACGACTGGAACTGTGCTCCTCTATCTGTAGTAACCACTTTAGGAGTCCCAAAAATCGAAATCCAGTCGCATAAAATAGCTTTTGCGACAGTCACAGCAGTGGTATCTTTGACAGGGATGGCAGTAGGCCATCGGGAAAACGATCCACTATAGTTAGAAGGTAGGAATAACCATGGCAGGTTGGTAGGGGCCCAACTAAATCCAGGTGTATATTAGTAAAACGAGCATCAGGCTCGCTGAAGGTGCCCACAGGAGATTTTGTGTGTCTATGCACCTTACACTTCTGGCATTGTAAACATGTATTGACCCATTCGCGAATGTGAACGTTCATATTCGGCCAAACGAAACGGTCCGAAATTAACTTAACTGTGGCTCTTTTGCTGGGGTGTGAGAGTCCGTGTAGGTGGTCAAAAACCTGTCTACGAAGAGACGGAGGAACATAAGGTCTTGGGGATTTGGATTTAACATCACAGTATAGGACCTTGTTACTAAAAGGAGCTGGACATTTCTGAAGTTCTAAAGAAGTGTCTGATAACACATGCTTCAGAGTTATGTCCGCTTTCTGTTCGTCGGCGATCAAGTCTTGACTGAGTGCATCAGTATGCACGCCGAACATCTCAGTACGAGATAGGGTATCGGCAACAGTGTTATCCGAACCCTTAATGTACCTAATATCAGTAGTAAATTGAGATATATAGTCCAGGTATCTGATTTCCCTCGAAGTGTATTTGTCCGAATTGGTGGACATAATGGACGTTAAAGGTTTGTGGTCCGTAAAAATAACGAAGGACCTACCTTCGAGGAGGTGTCTGAAATGCTTAATGGCACGAAATATAGCCAACAGTTCACGAGAAAAGGTACTGTAGCGTGACTGGGCAGGAGAAAGTTTAGCGGAAAAGAACGCTATAGGTTTACGTTGAGAAGGACTGACTTGTTCAATGACCGCGCCTATTGCTGTTTCGCTAGCGTCAGTGGTCAGGTAGATATCCGATTGAGGGTCGTCCTCTAAGAAACTGAGCTTAGAAAAATTGCCTAGAGCGGTTTTAGCTGCTCGAAAGGCGTCAAGGCTTCATTCTCAAGTATAATAGTCTTATTCTTCTTCTGTAATAAGTTGGTAAGGGGAGTCAGAATGTTAGAACAGTTTGGAATAAACCTCCTGTAGAAGTTGATCATCCCTATAAAGCGTCTCAACTGTTTAATAGAAACAGGGACGGGAAACTCAGTGATAGCTTTAATCTTTTCAGTTAAAGGGGCAATTCCATTTGCATCGACGTGATGTCCTAAAAATTCTATATGGTCTGATCCGAAGACACATTTGTCCAGGTTTAGACGAAATCCGTAATGGGACAAACGTTGAAGAACTTCGTGTAGGTGTTGTTTATGCGAGGCAGCGTCCTCGCTAGCTATCAGAATGTCGTCAATGTAATCGAAAACAAAAGGGAGTCCACGCAGAACCTCGTCCATAAGACGTTGGAATGTCTGTGCTGCGTTGCAAAGGCCGAAAGGCATTTTCAAAAACTCAAATAAACCGAAAGGTGTAGTAACAGCAGTTTTTGGGACATCAGCAGCAGCTACTGGCACCTGATAATATGCTTTCGCAAGATCTATTTTAGTAAAAATCTTTGCGCCTTGTAAACCAGAAGTGAAATCGTGGAGGTGGGGGATTGGATAACGATCCCGGACGGTGATGGAATTCAATCTTCTATAATCCACACAAATTCTATAGTCCTCCTTTCCTGGTTTAGGTACCAAATGAAGAGGGGAAGCGTAGGGACTGTCGGACGGACGAATAACACCCTCTCGTAGCATGTCGTCGAAAGCTTTCTTTGCGAATTTTAATTTGTTAGGTGCTAGACGACGAGGACGGGAAAAAACAGGTTGACCAGTGGTCTTAATAAAGTGCTGTGTTTGATGTTTAGTTGAATCAATAGATCCAGCAGGACGCAGGAGGTCCTGGTACTGATTCAATAAGTCTAAGTACTCTTTATTGTGGCACGTTGCCACGGTGATGCCAGTGGTAGTAAATTTAGAATAAGTGCCAAGAACACACAGTCTTGTTAAGTTGTCAGTCAGGGAATGGTTGTTCATTCGCACGGCGAGATCATAGTGCGCCAGGAAATCTGCACCTAATATCGGCATCTGGACGTCAGCAACAGTAAAATTCCAAGTAAAGTCTCGTCGCATCCCTATGTTTAGGGTAAGGGACTTCGTACCGTAAGTATTAATACTGGAACCATTTGCTGCTTGTAAGCGGAGCTGAAAAGGTTGTTTACGTGCTTTATCACGCACGGGTAAGACACTAATGGCAGCGCCGGTGTCAACCAAAAAACGTAAATTATTACGTGTATCCGTCACATAGAAGAGGCGACTAAGTTTTGGTGAAAATGCCTTGCCAGCGAGATTAGTCGCTTTCACTCGCTGGCGGTTTTGTTTTCCCGCGACCGCAGTATAGGAACACGGCTTGGTGCAGTAGTGTGCTGCAGACCCAAATCGTCGGTGGTAGTAACACATAGTAGGAGTGGCATCCTTGTTCCGACTTGACGAGCGTGGTCGACTTCTGAAGCGCCGGCGGGAGGGGAACCGGCTTCGACCATGGCTTTCTATAGCTAACGTTAAATCTTTAACTTGGCGCTGCAAATCCTCGACTGTTTTTTCCAAGGAGCTGTGGTCCCTAGTCGCTTCAGCACTGTGTACTGGCATTGTCTGATTATCCAGTTGCGAGAAAATACGATCAGCGGCGTCCGCTAATTGATCGATCGAGGTGTTTTTCGGACATTGGCGCCAAAATTTGGGTAATGGTGGTGGGGAGACGGTCCAGCCACAAGCTTTTTAATATAGAGTCAGCCATGGTATTTTTGCCGAGTCGGCTTTTCATATAACGAAGGAGTTGGGAGGAGTCCTGCCATCGCAAGTTAGGTTGCTAAATAGTTCCCGGATTAATGATTCCTCCGTACGGCCCATTCTCCTTAAGATCGCTTCTTTTAACCGGGCGTAGGGTTCTACTTCAGGAACGGCTTCTAGGAAGTCTGAGACCTCATCAACAATGGCGGGTGGCAAAACCGCCACCACGTGGCCAAACTTAGATTTTTGGTCTGTAATCCTTCTGACTGTAAAGATAGCTTCCATTTGCAGGAACCAGTTCTTTATATTCCCTTCATGAAAGGGGGGAAAAGGAGCGACGGCGGCGGACATGTTCGCCGACTCTTCAGAGTCACTAGACGTCATTCCGGCTATCGAATTTATGCACGTTTATATTTAAGCTTGCTCAGAAATATGTTGGCAAGGTTGCAAAATTATTACGTGTTCGTATCACGTCGTAAGGTCACCAATCTTGTTGCAGGCCCGGTAGGGTGCAGTGCTGGTTTATTACTAAGTGGCCTTGTGCCAGACACCACACTAAACTACCGAGTCTACAAGCAAAGTAAAAAGATAAAAATGTGCGTGAATGAACAACGAAGAAATGTGGTTAATCACACGTGCATAAAATAAAATATATTAAGATAGCCGACACAGAATGACAGAACAAGACTGGATTCCAACAAGAGTAATTTTTATTAAATGCAGGAAAACAAGTAAATTGTCCCGTAGTAGGGATCAATGAAAAAAGTTCCGCGCCAAAAAGTAGAAGCAAGATGGCTAAAGGCAGGAAGGTTCTTGAAGAAGAAGGAGATACCAGATAAGTCAATGTACAAGATAATATTCATACAAGGAAAAATACTCACTGCGAGTTTTTAGGTAATGTGAGTGAATGTTATTGTTATGTACATTTTTTTTTTCTTCCTTTTTGTACTGGTTCAAAACAGATTTCTGACGAGACCCAAAGTGGACGACGGATTGTTATTTTGTATGTTCTGCATCGTCTCGGAGTAGAACTTTGAATGACGAGTCTCAAAGGGCCGAGGAATTAATATTTTGGATGTTTTGCATCATCTCGGAGGAGGACTTTGAATGACGAGCCAAAAGGGACGAAGGATTAATCATTTGGTATATGCATCGTCTTATAAAAGGGTTTTGAATGACGATCCAAAAGGGACGCAGAATTAATATTTGGTGTTGGCATCGTAAGATATCCTTCGTCAGTCAACCTTGCATATTGACATGGATAAAAAATGAGTCTGCTTAGGTCCGAGTCTGGATCAGAACTGAAATTTTCTGAAACAACAGTTTGTCGTTGACGTCACAAATTTTTCGCGGGAAGATTTCAAAAAATCTAATTTGCATAACAGGTCAGGTCGTTTGGTTGGTGACCAAAAACAGTTACTACTGTATTAGACCGAACGAGGGAGAAAAGGGGTGTCAAACGCGCGTCGTAGATGGAATAATACATTATTCCACAGGTCCACCCTGATCCAAGGTGGTAGCAACTGTTAGGGTCCCAGCTATTGGCAAATAGTTAAAAAAGGGAGTCAAAAACTCGCGCGCGCGTAAAATGTCGTAGATGGAATATTTTTGAAAAAAAAAAAAAAAAAATTAAAACAATAATTTTGAAAAAAAAAAAAAAAAAAATTTAAAACAATTTACATTTTTGATCAAAAAAACAAAAAATATTTAACTCAATACATTTAAAAATTTAAAAAAAAAAAATATTTCTAGCAATACATTTTTGAAAAAAAAAAAAACTAGCACAATACATTTTTGAAAGAAAAAAAAAAAATACATTTTTGAAAAGAAAATATCAATACATTTTTGAAAAAAAAAAAATATTACTAGCAATACATTTTTGAAAAGAAAAAATATTACTTACATTTTGAAAAAAAAAAAAAATTTGACTTTACATTTTTGAAAGAAAAAATATTACTAGCAATACATTTTTGAAAGAAAAAATATTACTAGCAATACATTTTTGAGGGAAAAAAATTACCAGTAAAACATTTTTGAAGAAAAAAATACTAGCAATAAATATCTTGTCGGCATTAAATAACTCATTGGTTGATATGCCGTAAAACAAAACAAACCAAACTAAATCTACATTATGTGAGGAACAGTTTAGAGAAAAAGAAAAAAAAACCTGTTTCAAGGTATTATTAAAATTCAAGTTTAATTTGTTTTTTCAAAGATTAACTATTATTTTCGTGTGGTGCAATGTTGTATACTTTCTAATTTAAATAAGGAATTACAAATGTAAGGAAATGTTAAAGCTGGGTGGTTACTTCGTCTTTAAAGTTGGATAACAGTGAATCCTCAGGCTATCATTAGCCGACTGATATTTAAATGTTGAATGAAACAGTATCAGTACTTAATCGAGATTCATAGCAATAGTTCCTTATTATTTCACGGGCGAGCGGGTGGTGGTATTTCTAGTGCTATTTGAAATTGCTCAGTGTTCTTTGTTCGAAGAATGAGACAGCTCGCAAGATTTCTTAAATAGGTTTCCAACAATTTGAAAAGGAAGCAAGCAGCAAATCTTGGAGAGAACAGGAGCCACTTAAGGGGCACATTAAAGATTATTGCAGGATACCATGCATTGTCGCAATTGATTTCTTAAAAAGGATAGCTCAAAGCAGGGCTGGTGAGAGGGTCTTGTGTTTCACCATATATACGAGACGTCGACTACATCACAATTCTCGTAAAATACAAATCTTATTGCAGTCCTGGGTAAAACGATAAACTACATCCGCGTCCTGGGTAAGACGGTAAACCACATCCGACAGCAACACCTCTGATCAGGAGGTTTTGAGGAGCGTGGAACCACCTCTTAATTGCTGGTATTCCCAGGTCCACCGTGACCCCGGGTGGTAGCAGCTGTTACGGTCCCAGCTATGGGCAAATAGTTAACCATCAAATTGGGGTCAAAACATTATGAAAGTGTAAAAACAGGTTTTAATACTAGCAATACATTTTTGTAAAAAATATTCCAGTAATGAATTTTTCAAGAAAAAAAATATTAGCAGCAATTCTTGAAAAATAAAAATAAAATAAAATTAACAGCGATAAAAATTGTCAATATTAAATAACCCATTCGGGTTGATATGCTGTAAAACAAACCAAACCAAATCTTATTGTAACCTAATTATTTACAATAATGGATCAGATGCAATATAGGTGAACAATTCAACTAGAAAATAAATTAGTTTGGCTTACGGCCTATCAACCTGAATGTGTTAATACCGACAAGATTTTAATTGCAGGTAATTTTTTTTTCAAAAATGTATTGCTGATAATATTTTTGTCTATTCCAAAAGTGTATTGTCGGTAAAAAAAATTTTCTTAAAAAAAAATCATTGCTGGTAACATTTTTTTATAAAAATGTATTGCTGGTATTAAAACCCATTATTACATTTTCATAGTGCTTTGACCCTAGTTTGGGGGTTAACTATTTGCCCATAGCTGGGACCCTAACAGGTGTTACCACCCCGAGTCAGGGTGGGCCTGGAAACACCAGCAATTAAGAGATGGTTACACGCTTCACAAAACTTTCAGATCAGAGGTCTTGCTGTTGGGTGTAGTTAATCGTCTTACCCGGGATAAATGCATGTCACAATAGGTGATTTCGTCTTGAATAAATCAACAATGTTTTGCGGTAATTTTTAACATGCACTTGAGATTTTTTTTCTGTTAAAAAGTTGAAAATTTTAACAAAGTATAAAATGGTTAATTTTAAATTGTTTTTTTCGAGACTTTGCACGAAAATAAAAAGAATCCTAGAATGACATCAAAATACATGAACGTTTTTTTCATCCATTAATTTTTGCTTAGTTTAATTTGTAACGTATATAAATATAGGTAGAAAAAATTGTTAGTAAGATAGCAAGGGTCGCAAAGCACTGCCCGGGACCTTCAGTCACGCTTGCAGCCCCCGCCCCGGTCGGGTGTAATATGCGCCGGCCCTGGTTTAATCCATGGATGGAGTTATATGCACATCACACAAAGACTCAGATCGGACATTAAATGGAAAATCGGACAAAGTTTATGTAACAATCATTCGTTTCACTTGATGTGTGTGTGTGTGTGTGTGTAATTCTCGTAAGACTAGTTGGTTTAAGAAATAAATTTACTTCATTTTTATACCTGTTTCATCAATATATAGAAACTTTCAAATGATGTCAATTTTATGAGGACAAAGCAACACTATATTAATTTGAAGAAAAAAAAATGAATGTCTATATATGACGCAGATGGCTATTTTAAGCAAATGCTTTCATTCATTAATTTTTATCACTGAGAAGTCAACAAACACATTAGAAAGTTGTGCTGCTAGCTTATCACGAGCGGTGTTTAATTGTTGATCAATGGAAAAACAGACATAGACGCCGCGGTGTCGGGTAATGGTTAACAAGCTGGAACATCACCACAACTGAGTAGGGAGTGAATTATGTATACAGCTTTATGTTAAAGACAAGCTAAAGTTGCATTTAAGCGTGGATTCTGATGCCCACACTGTCAATCACACACACTCTCTCGAAGAAGAAAGGGACGGCTTTGAGAAAGAGAAGGAAACGGGCGGCTGCGTCGAGGAGGAGGAAGAGGAAACGAGCGGGGGCCAAGAGGAGGAGGAAACGTGCGGGGGCCAAGAGGAGGAGGAAACGTGCGGGGGCGTCGTGGGAGGAGGCTGATTTGAGTGGAGATGTAGACGTATATGAACAAAGTTAAAAGTCCTTTTTCCCGGGCAAAGCTTGTGCTGTCTTCCTTCTTAAACTAAAACCTAACATGAAGAGAAATTGCTGTATCTGTCTATATTTCTGAGATGAGGTCATGTAAATAGTGAGAAATTGCTGGTTTTAAATTTCACCTTAATCCAATTAACATTTTTTTACGTATAAAATACAGATGGAAAAATATTCAAGAACATTTTCCCAAAAATAAATGACGCCCCACCCTCAAGAAAGTCCTGATCAGAATGCGAAACACTAACCTGAAAAGTATTCAACAGAGTTAATTGTTTTAAATCTTTGTAAATATATACATATCTGAATAGTGGTAGAACTAAATAATGAGTGAATTTAGGTACCTCCACGAAATCGCTAAAAAAAGAGCATAGCTTGATGAAAAAGACGCCAACCTTGCCGAAAACAAAATTTTATTGTCTAAATGCTTATGTTATTATTAAGAGGAAAGACCAAATTTTTTTTTTTAATTATTTTTAAAAATTTTCCTTCTTTTTAGAACATTCTAAATTTTAATAAAAAAAACCTTTTTTCTATTTGTATCACCGGAACTAGTAAAATAACAGACAATTTTTAGCACGTTTTTTT